TCTGCTTATCAGTATGGGCTGAAAATTGAGGAGCTTTCATTTTCTTAATCCAAATTGTTATCAGTTTGGTGGAACTGCGCAGTGAGAATTGTGTTGTTAGCAAATTGATTGTTTTTGAAAATTAATATCATTTATTTCAGCAGTAAGTTTAATTTCAGATTGAATGCTGTTTAGGTTGGTAGTGGATCATACCTTTTATCGTATCTATATATCATATCAGTCAAAGGCATTTCGCAATAAAAATGAAATGAATTCCAGGAAAAGATATCATTAGAATCAAATAATAGGTAAAGGAATAACAATTCCCAATAAAAAAAGTTTTTATGGATTTAGAATTTTTCATTCATTGTGAAATTCCTCTTTGCGAAGAGCTACTTGGGTGAAAACTTCAAATGAGAGAAATAATTCACAACATTCATTATTATTATCTTGATTTTGTCGGTATAATGTTTACTTTTATGTTTCTTATTTTTTTTGAGAGTTCAGAATCAAGTAAAATGTTAAATGCATACTTATTGTATTCTTCGATGAAGAAGACACTGCCGCCAGCTTTCCACGGTTTTTTTGATCATCAAAAAAATGTTACGTGAAGACAATGGAAGATTCTTTTATTAGAAAGCAACTACTTTTTCCACTGCTGAAAATGCAAAATCCATCGGACTGGTTAAAATTTTCACCATTTCGAGTTTCCTCGTCCTTTGAAAACGTTTATGACAGTGTTTTTGATATAAATTGAATCTGAACCTTGCTTCACATTTAATTGAACTGCATTTTAAAAATATTAGGAATAGAAATTACAGACGAGTACCGAAATGTCTGGATGCAAAAGATGGTATTGTAAAAGCAATGATGATGATGATGTCGTGGAAAGTTGTCGTCAGATACTCGAATATTTCTGATACAGCAGTGAGAAAATCTTTATTTTTATTATTAGTAATCTGAGCAGTAGAAATAGACTTTGTAAAATCGGAGGAAATTTAGTTTCATTATGAGGGCTTACAGTCGACAACAATTTTTTGTTTATCAGGATTGAATTTATATGAGTGAGGATTGGGCGTGTCGAAGATGAAATCACATATGTGAGGAATTGGAGTTGTTTACAATAAGATCATATATGTGAAGGTATATATGGTGGATTCATATATGTGAGGAATTGGAAGTGTTCCCATTATGATCATATAAAGAAGAGATTATGATGAGAGCTAATTTCACATCAAATTACATGAGTAGTAAATTTTAAGAAGCCAAATATATGCAGAGATGGTTTATGATACAGTAAGACTGTTTACAATTTAAAAATGGTTAATTAGTTTTATTAGTTTTTCTTTAAATTCGCGACATTTGTATTCGTCGGGTATCATGCATACATGAATGCGAATCGCGTTTGCATATATCTAAATACCATACATCCATGGATTGTTATTTATCGTTGCATTCGTCTGATATTAGAATTCCATGAATTGTGAATCACAGTTATATATGTCCGAGTATTATACATTCATGAATTGTGAATAACGTTTGTATGTATCTGAATACCATATATCATGGATTGTTAATCACAGTTGTAATCGTCTAGGTATCATACACCCATGAATTGAGAATTACAATTGTATATGTCTAAGTATCAAATATTCATGAATTGTGAAGACGGTTGTATATGTTTGAGTATCACACGTCCATTAGTTGTTAATTACAATTGTATATGTCAGAGTATCATGTATCCGTTAATTGTGATTCCAATTGATACCTTTTTAAACTTATTTGTTTCCGTTTGATCTCGTTCGGGAATCTTAGAATTCAATTCTTTGTTTTCTAATATTCATTGAGGCATCGTTAAAGATGTTTTTCATTTCTTGATATTTGTGTAAAGCTTCATCGATACACATGGTTAGTACTATAATGTTGTCGACATAAAGATTTTTCTCGCTAATGAGATTAGGAAAAATCCTAATCTCATTAGCGAGTTCATTATCGTAATTTTCCAAATGATAAGTGTAGCCGATAATAAAAATGGTAAAGATATTACTTCAAATGGGATTCGTTTAAATCGATAATGCTGGCACATCTCTCGACATATCTTCTCGATTATGCCAGATTGTAACTGATCACAAATCGTTTCGTCATATTTGAGAAATAAACGTTCATCGTTTTAAAATCGTTTATTTAAAGCTCCTAAGCGACCAAAACACAATCCGAAATTGTTGTTTAATTCGATTCTGGATTCTTTCCATGGCCAAACACTTGGTATCTGCCATTATATTTTTTAATATTTTATTTGAACTTTTCTAAAACTTGTTCGTCATCCTGTAAATTAGGTATTCTTGTATTCCTATGAATTCCAATTTCCAGAATCGATTAATCTCTGGAATGTCACTATTAATAGTTTTGTGGTGGTGGTTTGATCTTTATTCTGAACGGAGTAACATGTGCTCTGTGTTACTATCTTGTTGATCACGCTGACGCTAACGCTGACGATCATTGTGCATGTATCATGTATTCACTTCCAGCAATCATAGGGCCGACTATTGTGTTTATTGAAGAAAACCCTGAATTTATAGTTTGCGCTTACTCAAAAGAGATAAACTTGAAGAAATAGTCAACTCCGATAATTAGATCAGCCGTTTTCAACTGCTAATTTCCTCTGTTAATGGGAACAGAGTCGAATTATCTGATGTAGTTTTCTTCTATCGTTTTTATTCCAATTACACTTTAGCAAAAAGAGATGTTTGAGAATTTCTATTGCCGAATCTCGCGAATGTCACTTGTTTATAATCAATATCTTCTAAATGTAATCTTTTTGCTAGTTTCTTCGATATACACATTGCTTGAGCACCACTACCAAATAAAACTATAATTTTATTTGGAACCTCTGGCATATCTAAATTAATTGCTTCAACTTCTTTGCTAAAAAGCAAGACTTCTCTGTCATTTCCTTTCGAATGCTTTATTATTGAATTGATTACCTTTGCCGTCTTTCGATCTTCTTCGATTGGCTCTACTGATTGTGCTTGATCGTTATGCTTAGTGCAGCATAATATAGTATTATGGTGAACTTTGCAATAAAAACATACATGTTTTCTTGTCTTGCAGTTGATTGTCGTATGTCCTGGTTGAAGACAATTTAGACAGGCGTTGTTTTCTTTCAGTCGTTGTATTCTTCGTCCTAGATTAGGATAACTTTGACATTCATTATCTCAGTGCAAAAAGCATATGGTCTTTGAGTTTTGCTAATTTTTTTCTATGTATTTGCGGTGTTATTAACAGTTAGAGCCAAAGTTTATTCTGTAAAATATCGATGATTAGTTCGTGGACCAATTTTATTTTTAGATTCTCTTTGCTCTTTCATGATGTCAAAGAATTGGCTTCTTATAACTTCTCCGTTTCTTTGGATCAGTTTTGCTAAGAATTGTCTTAGCTTAGCTACTGACCATATTTTTTTCCTTTTGTTGATGCACTCAATCCAGAATCCAGGCAGGCAGTTTATTTTCAATAATAATTTTAATACTGGATTGTTCGAGATTTTCACCCATTGCTTCAAGTTGTCGAAGTATTCTTTCAGTAGCTTCGACTATTATCTTCTATTGTCGATCACTCTTCTTGACGGAATATAACTCATTGTAGAGCGATGTTTTTAATGATATGTGATTGCCCAAATTTTTCAATAAGGAATTTTCGTATCACATCGTAATTTTCTGCTGTTATATCATAACCTCTAACAGCCAATAAGGCATCTCCCTTCAGACATACAATTAAATAATTTAATTTTTGGATGTTTGGTATTTTTTGTAAATGGACTGCAGCTTCAAAGGGCTCCAGAATCCTCTCCACTCATTTTAGCATTACCACTGAAGGTAACAGTTGGGTAAGAGCCTATTTGACTGGATTACTAACTCTGAGTCATTCATATACATACTTAAGGTTATGATGATTTCTTTGCCTTCACTTATTAAGTTCAAAATACCTCTTTTATCTTCGACCATTTTGACGTATTTGTCTTCCTCTTGTTTTCTATTCGCTGTTTGAAACCTGTTGTATGTATTGGATCCAGTTAATATTAATTGTCTCAAATGTGTCAATATGCAACTTGAGATGCATTATTTTTTTTTCAATGAATCTTGTTGACAGGTTTCTTCTCGGTCAACATTTGCTCCGAAAGCGTAAGATCCATTTCTTGGACTTCTTTGAGAAAAGCTTCCAATTTTTCTTCTGCCAGTCGTGGTGAAGAGTACTACAGTTGCAGACATTTCTGGCTCGTGACACCAAAAATTTTGTCGTGGAAGATTTAACTGTTTAATTATTAATTTTGGGAGAGGTTTTTGATCGCAGGGAGGTTGATTAAATGTAGATGTAAATGCATGGAGTAACAGAGAAATAAACGAATTTCTTTATTAACAGAAGTAATAAGACAATAAGTTGATAGAGAACAATTGAAATTGAAATCGTCTGGTTCTTGGCAACAAATTACACATATATTAAAATGTTTTAACTAAGGGTGACCCTTATATAGCAATTATATCTTACATTACATTATTAAGATGTAGGAGTGGTTTATAATTAGACAATTTTGTACAAAGGATAAATTGTCTAGACATGATAGTAAATTAAGTTAACTACAATCGGTATTACAATGAATTGAAAGGATATAACAAAAGAAAGTACAGTGGGTTTTCTAGACATTATGATAAGTGGCTACTATAATGAGTTGCAATAGACATACATGATCGATGCTTATAATATATAAAATGATATAAGATCAAAAGTCAGTTAAACCATTACGATGAATTGTAAAAGGCATCAATGGATTACTATATTAAGCATTGTTAACATTTAATGTTAAAATTTGCGACGGTGTCATACAATTAGCATTATGCTTCAATTCATCACTAATTTGTTCAATTAATTCTCTTGTGCTTATTTTGATGAATATATGTATTTATTTAAATTTTATCATCCTCTAAATCATCTTCAACATCTGCCGTTGGTACAAGCTTTTCCTTTCGTTATTGTTCATATTCGCTTGGCTTAAGTTGTAGAAATGATAATTCCAAATGGCTATCTATCTGTAACCATAAATAATAATGTTTTCTTCAGAATTTTCAAATGCTTTCCTTTGCTTTCCTGATGAAAACACCTATATTTGCAATTACCACATTTTCTACTAAAAATTTTTGTTTTCTTTTTCTTTTTTTTTGCGACCTATACTTCAAACTTGTAAGCCATATTTCAGCATAAATTTATAATTACGATAATAATAATAATATTATTATTATATGCTTAAATATATTTAAAGCATTTCATTAATGTTTGTTATAATTCAATCAATTAAGAAATGTTTAACATTAATAGCACCAATAATAATAATAAATAAAAAACAACAACAAAAACATTCATTATGAAATTAAAAAAAATTAATTCCCGGACTTTAGTGAAAATTATCTAATTGCTATGTGAAAATAGTTTTAATTAACTAACAACGACAACAGCAGCAAAATTACAAAGATCTTCGTGATATCGTGCAGCTGAGAAGACAGTTATAAGTTTACGATTCGCAAAAAATGCATAACCAAATTCGACAACCTGTCAGATAGCAATTAATTAATTAATGATTGTTTATTATTTATTTATTTATTTATTATTTAATGAAGTCTGATCTAAACATTTTCATCTACAGTATTTCATAATTATTTTAATCGCATTAAATTAATTAATGAAGTCTGATCTAAACATTTTCATCTACAGTATTTCATAATTATTTTAATCGCATTAAATAGTAGCTGAATTGATGCTTTAAAATTTCAATGAAGCAAAGAAAAATAGAGTATAAAAAATCTCATTTAAAATAAAAATGCTATCACAATTTTGATGCAATCAAATTAGTCAAAGCATAATTGTTTTGAAAATATTCTTTATAAACTATTCGTTTATTTTAGGGAATAACAAATTTATCCTAAAATAACCAATAAACATTCTGAATATATGAAATTTATTAAGACAAAAAAAAAACGAAATAAACTGGTAAAAGAAAAAAGTACTTTCTAGCACTTAACGATATTTCCTATTACCTCCTCATCTCTTGTTCCTCAAATTTCAATCATTTGTGTCCAAACTTGTAAGTTTTTATAGTTTCCACTAAAATTTATTTCCGTGATGTAATCCGAAAGCTTTGACGACTATTGCCGAAATACACAAATTTCAATGAACCAACAAACTTCGATTCCATATTAGTTAATAAAAATAATCATTTGAAATCATTTAAAAAACAATGATTTCATTTAAATAATGAATAAATAATGAATTCATATCAGAATTCGGAAATAATTATAATTAGATTTACGATTCATGGCGATACTATCCCTATAGAAGTAAATAAGAGTTGAATGGAACAATTCTGATCGTTAATAGTGTTGAATGAAACTATTGAATTGATAGTTAGTTCAAGAGAGAAAGAAAAAATCAGTGCAAATCATCCGAAGCAAAAAGTATACGAAAAGATATTTCATTGAACGACTAAAATATTTTTTACATGTTAACTTACGAAATCATTTAATTATTAAAACATATGAACACTTGCTTCAGCTAATTTTTCATTAATTGAATTTATTAATCGTTTAATGCCTTATCATTTCACCTTTTCATTTTATCATTTTGCTATAGATATGGAAACAAATAAACCTCGTATATTTGCTGGATGAAAGATACATGGACGATGCACTTGAATAGGAATGTGCTTTGAGCTTTGAGTTCAGTGCGGAAAATAAACGCCTCTTTGTGGATGATGCAAAGTTTGCTGGGATTGATGAAACTGCAATTTTTTTTTTTTTTTCTATGGCAATTGCAAGATTTTTTCTCTTTAGTAAAGTCCGTGATAATTTCTTTCAAATTCTTAAGATTCATTGGAAGATATTTTTAAATTAACTTCAAAGTAGTTGAAGGTTGTGAAATATTTTGATATTTGATATTACGAGACTCTTTATAAATATGCTGTAGAGTATAACGTGCACTTCTGCTATGAAAATGAATGATATATAATAAGCTGAACAATTCTTATAAGTTCCAAAAATAAGCGGTAAAACTTTTTTTTGACTATTAAATTAATAGTTCTGCAATAATGCCAAACATCAAAATATAAACTGATTGGTTTAAAGTTTAAATTAATAATTTGTAAAAATTTTGTAAAAAAACAATATGCATTTACTGCAAATGTTTATATGTTATTCTGATTTAGCAAAGAAAATAGAAGTAATTTTTTTTAATATCAAATAATATTGATTAAATAATGTTTATAAGCCCAATACGTTACTTATGTCGCGTACCAAATAATCCTGAGGTGGGTGCCCACTAGTACAACAGTTCAGTGGTGATATATTTCTTTAATCGGAAGTACGTTTATTATTCAATTATTTCTTTTTTCCAGTCTAGCGAATAACATAAATTTGTTTTAGTTAGCGCTGCTTCGTAAACGAATTTGAATCAAATAGTATTTCATTTAATGATATATTTCATTTAAAAGGAAAAAAAAAAACATCAAGAAAAGAGCAAGGACGATATCATTCAATGATTTTCAATCAATTAGAATGTGGAGATGTCGTGTTTCAAACATTGTTTTTGAGTTAAAAAGTTAAAAAAATTATCCAGTTTATTATTTTTTGTTTACATTTTTATTTTGATCTTATGTTAATATATTCGAAACCTTATATTTTCAACAGATGATGCATTAAATTTCTCCTCTCCATTCTCCATTTTCTTTTTTCATCTCTCATACAATCAAATGAGATTCGTTGCATCTCGTGTAACATTTACTGTATTGATTGGTTGTATTATGTGATAAAACTTCTGCCCAAAGTGATTAGAAATATATTTTAAGATTCGTGAAAATAAAAAATTTTATATCCTTTTCAATAGCTGAAGATAATGTAATGAGGTCATTATTTTATTACTTTTATGTTCTATGTCCCATATGTTTTATATTAAATTTGTCATAGTTTGAAAATATTTTAGTTATATTTGTAGGAAAAGATGAATTCTCTATTTCAGGTGACGAGCTTATTTTTTTCTCCTTCAAAGAAAGTTTCACGGATCGGCGGACAGTCTTATCGTTTTTGAGCATATTTCGCTTGACGCTCATTTCTTTAGTCACTTAAATTCCGTATTTATTATTCAGCCGTATTGTGCGGACAGTGATTTATTGCTGCTATTCTGTTTACTGCTAGCTGCTAGAGGTATTCAAGTCACAACACACACCTATCGAAATGGCTGAAAATAAGGATGAACTCGTTCAACGCGCTAAACTCGCCGAGCAGGTTAGTTTTTATAGTAGTGATTTCTGGCCGAAAGTGTTTTATCTGCTCCATCTATGAGATCTATTTGCTGATGAAAATAGAAAAAGCAGAAAAAGCAGTTCGGTGGTTAAATCAGTGCGATGGTTTCTAGAATTTTGCACTAGTGAAGGATTTAAAAGCGTTAAGAAGCAGTTTATGACATCTATGGTAAACTATAATACTATTTGTTTTTGAGGCTGAACGATACGACGACATGGCTCAGTCAATGAAGCGAGTCACCGAATTGGGTACAGAACTTACTAATGAGGAGCGTAATTTGCTCTCCGTCGCCTACAAAGTTAGCATATTTAGTCACTTTGTTTGTATTTCCTTCAAACATTTATGCAAGTGCGATGTTTTAGTATTATATTAAGTTTGGTATTAGGATGGATTTTTTTAAACTGTACTGAAGTGTTTTGGTCATTCCGTTGCGGCAAAAGAAGAAGCGTGGGGTTAAAGAAAAATGGGAGATGGGATTCAAAATGAAGAAATAATTTGGGAAGGTAAAGAGAGGAGGAAGGAGCAGAGTAAGAAGGGAAAGAGGACAGAAGCAGATAACCGTATTAGATAATGGAGAACCTCCCTAACAATTTGGCGGATAGTTGAGTGAATTAAATGGCTTATCAGTCATTATAGTAGTTGCTCAGCTAAATTCGTGTAGCATTTTTCTAATCCTTTTTCGTCTCCTTCTGGGCCTCAGAGAATTGTGTTTGTTGCTTGTTGCTTGTGATTGCTGTGCGTTGCGCTGTATAGTAACGGTAGGGATTGTCATTTGATTCCTCTGCAGGGGAAGTAAGAGATTGCTATCCAGAGATATGATGCAATTAGGAAGTTTCAGACGAATTTTCTGATTTGATTGTAAATAGCAGTCGTAACCAATAAATATTCGAATTAACTTTCAAGTCACTTCTAGTAAAATTGTTGTACGTTGTGTAAAGATACTTCTGGAAGAAGTAGCTTAATGTGAAGGAAGTAAAAAACAGTAAACTTTTCAGAATGCAGTCGGAGCACGACGTTTGTCATGGCGGGTGCTATCATCGATTGAGCAGAAGACCGAAGGTTTGGAGAAACAACAGATGGTAAAAGAATATCGCGAAAAAGTTGAGAAGGAATTGCGAGATATTTGTCAGGATGTTCTGGTAAGCATTCATTTAAACTACCTTTTGGCATGTTATGTTGAGGTAAATTAAAATAGAAATTCGCATATTTTATTGGATTTGTGTGCAACTGTAAATTTTCGATTATCAATAAAAACATTAACATAAAGTTAAACAGGTTAATTTTAATCCTGAAAAATTTCTATTCCAGAATCTCTTGGATAAATGCCTCATACCGAAAGCAGGTAACCCTGAGTCGAAGGTGTTCTACTTGAAAATGAAAGGTGACTACTACCGATATCTGGCCGAAGTTGCAAGTGGAGATGATCGCGAAAGTAGGCATATTTGTATTTATTTAATTTAATATTTTTTTGAATTATTAGTTTAAATGCAGAACAGTACGAGAACAAAATTGTTTACATGGAAGGTTTGCAGTGATCAGATTTATCTAATCGAGTATAGAGCCTAACATGTAATTGGTCGATAAAAGACCGGCAAATTGGTTGCGCCATAACGGTGCGCCGTGCTGGATCAAACATTTTTGTCCCAGCAGCAGTCGTAACTATAATTTCAACGCTTTATTTCGTGACCTCAGAAAGTTATTTGGAACCATCGCATTCGTTGCTATGCTGACGAACAGGAGTTGAATTTGAGTTTGTTGCTGCTGACCGGTGGTTCTCTGTTCTATTTAGTGGTAGTGGCGAGGTCAGAGCAGTCCTACCGCGAAGCATTCGATATCGCAAATGACACAATGCATCCCACACATCCGATCCGACTTGGGCTTGCACTCAATTTTTCGGTATTCTACTACGAGATACTGAATGCATCAGAAAAGGCTTGTCGACTTGCTAAACAGGTGCGTGAAGAAGGGTTCATTTTATATTATTACCACTCGAATGGTTGGTTTATGTTTGTTTCAGCGGTGGCGGATGCGGGTCAGAAAGCCTACTCGGAGGCACTTGAGATTGCCAAGGCACAACTTTCGACTACCCATCCAGTTCGTTTGGGCCTCGCTCTAAATTATAGTGTCTTCTTCTACGAGATTTCATCGAGCCCCGATCGTGCATGTCAACTCGCAAAACAGGTGGGCAGGATCCTATAAAGTGCCGGTTGCCGAAACATTCAGATTTATTGTTCGGCCGACATTTGATAAATACATATTGCTGCTGCCATCTGAAGTTTTCTTTACTGTCCTTACATTTAGATTATACTGATGATATTCCATTACCTTTATATGCAGAAAATTGAGGGTTATAAAGTGGAATTTTTCGGTGGAACAATGTTTTATACAATATTGTTACGGTCTGAAATGCTTCTACTGACTTAGATGGATACTAACTGATTAGCAATTCTGCGTCAACAATTCTTCAATTTTCTTTGAGAAAATGGAAACTGAATCTTGTTTCTTCAGGAATTTCAATTTTGCACTTAGTTTGGGTTTTGGACAGGCGATTCGTTAATTTGCTCGTAGATCTCCGAAATTCATCGTTCTGGGTAGCGCGGAGAAATTGAAGTGTTGAGGGCCTCAAAACACGTAGAATAATCGCTTTTGCTTCAAAAAATGCAAATAAATGAACATCAAGTTACAGTAGATTTTTGGTCTTCACTAAAATTTATCTGCATATGCACTTTCAAATCGACACGGATCTAAGGTAGTTTATGGCAATTAAGCTGGAGACATTTTGATGCTCCACTTCTTTTATTAGAAGGAATGACAATTATGCGCTTCAACTTTAGAAATGATTGGAACTGGAAAACCAGAAGGGGCAATTTTAACGTCTAGAAAAATAATGGCATAAATTAAATTTCAGACGGCCTGTGAACTTTAATTATCGTAGTAGTGATCCAGATGTTAGGCCTATCTTCAATATGTTAGATCTATCAAAAAAATTATGTCTCTTGAATAACATAATTCTTTCTGCATAATGTGGTTTGATAAAAAATTAGTTTGCAGGGCTAAGTATTTGAGGGTTCCATTAAAAAATATTTGTGAGTGTGAGTTGAGTGTTAACATCCAGCATGCGTTTTTTTTTTTTCTGTTCGCTGCATTCTTTTTTTTCAATTTTTCGTGTTTCTCGGGCTTATTCACTGTTGTTCTTGTGGAGGAAATTCAATTGAATATATGTGTATAAAATTGGTAATGAATAATATTTATTTTCCTGAATTGGACCAGATTAGAAGATAAACTAAACTCGATTCCTTTTCACATCAAGGATGGTTCTCACAATGAAATGCTAATGGCGGCTTAGGTGCCATCCGTTGCTTTTAGCAATCTTGCTATAAAACTAGGTGTAGAAGATAGGTAGCATAGTTCATCCGTAATGTCAATGTTACTCATTACTGGTGTTTCATTGTTTCCTCCGTGTCATTTCTACCCTCTGTCTGTGTCAATCAGATGCACTTGTGGATATAAGGTACTAATATAAGGTACTTTTTATTTGGAACTCCTTTATTCACCCAATGCAAGTCCAGTAAATTT